GCAAAAATAGTAAGTTTATGTTCAAAAATTTAATTACAAGTATATATTATATAATTATTTATTCTAACTTAATTTAATATTACTGGTAATAGTTCATAATTTAATGAATTTTGCATCTGGAAGATTCCTCTTGGAACTTAAGTCATGTGATGATTTGGTACAACTTGATAATTTTAAGAAACTTGTTAATAATATGATAGAAGAGCATTGTAAAGTTATTATACAAAAGACTCAAGAAGCATACAAAAAGGAGATCATTCAAAAATGGAAAGAAATAGCGGTTAGTAAAATTAAATCTGATTTAAAAATATTGATGATAAATTCTTTTTGACATTTTTACATTTTAGAGAAATAGTTCATTATTCTCTTCAAATTCTTTTGACATTTTTGAAGACAAATTTATTCAAAAAAACCTACTTGATTCTTTCTATTGTATGACAATCGACCTTTTTCATACTCTGATCTATGGTATAATGTTCTTGGGACAAATTTTACACGATTCAAAATATCAAAATTTGAATTAGTAAATCTTAAAGATATATCTGAAATTAATAATTCAGTTAAAGATTTATTTGAAAATTTTAATCTCCAGAATATTAATGAGCTGCAAAACCCTGATATTTCTATCAAATATTTTTCAGCACTAAACTTAAAGTTATCAGAAGGTGTTTATGGCGAACGAGTTAAAGGATCTATTATTGAAATCTTAAAATTGTGGTAAGATAACTAAATTAAACAATGATAAAAAAATATTTGTATTATATTTTTTTATTTAATTTTATTTAACTTAGGATAATCACTTGGAAAAAGGACGAAGAAATTGACGAAAAAGACTATGTTTATACATTTATCATCTCGCCTTTAGAGAAACTTCTTGGAATAAATTTATTACGCTATATTACACTACATGGGTAAACAATATCAAAATTAATATATTTATCATTATTGTTATCATTATAGTTTAGTTAATTCTAGTTTTAAATAATAATACTATTAAAATATTGTAGACCGGAACATCCAACATATTGCTCATATGAATGCAAAAGTTTCTTTTTTAATTTTGATGATTTGGAAGTTTCTAGTTGTCAAGTTTTCGATCAGTTAGTTAATAATGAGGATTTTATCAATCCAGAAATTTATTCTAAAGGAATTATGTCAAAAAAGAAATATCGTAAAAAAGTTGATATTGCTATTTCTTATCGTGTAGAAAATGTGATAAATAATAGAGTTCAATATGGATATTTT